ATACTGGGAAAAGGACAGTATCTTCAATAAATGGTGCTGGGAAAACTAGATATTTATATGCAAAAGAATGAAATTTGACCCCTATTTCTTTCCATATACAAAAATCAAATCAAAATGGATTACAGGCTTAAATCTAAGACTTGAAACTATAAAACTAGTAATAGAAAATATTGAGGAAATTCCCCAGAATATTGGTCTTAGCAAAAATTTCTTCAGTAATACCCCACAAACACAGGTAACCAAAGTGAAAATAGATAAATGGGATCACATCAAGTTTAAAAGCTTCTGCACAGTAAAGAAAAATATTGAAGACTCAACTCACAGAAAGGCAGAAAATTTTGACAAAGGAATAATAACTAGAATATAAAAGGAGCTCAAATAACACTACAGGAAAAAAATCTCACAATCTGATTAAAAAATGGGCAGAAGATGTGAATGGACATTTCTCAAAAGAAAATATACAGATGACAAACAGGTGTATGAAAAGGTGCTTGACCATTGACATTATTCACAAAATTAGAAAAAACTAACTGAATACATGGAGACAGAGACTAGGCGGTTAGTTACTAGAGGCTAGGAAGGATATTGGGGGTGGGGAGAATCGGAACGGTTAACAGGAACAAAAAAAAAAAAAAAAAAGAAAAAAACCTAGTATTTGCTACACAACAGGGTGACTACAGTCAAAAATAATTTAATTGTACATTTTAAAATAACTCAATGAGTATAACTAGATTGTTTGTAACACAAAGCATAGATGCTTGAAATGACGTATACCGTATTTCACCTGATGTGGTTATACATTGCATGCCTATCAAAGTATCTCATGCAATCCATAAATACATACACCTACAACTTACCTACAAAAATAACAAATAAAAATATTTTATAAAAAGTAGTGAGATATAAATGAAGTCAAAATAACAAGACAGCAATATCAGATACTAATATCAGAGTGTTGACTTTGGATACCTAAAATCTGGATTTGGTAATGTTTGGAATGTGCTCTAAAATGATTATATAATAAAGGAGCAAAAATTGCTCCAAAAGGAATAACATAAACCAAAAAGAATTTCAATCAAACAGAGCTGAAAATGATATAACAAAGCTGGTTTATAACCCATAAGTCAAATGCTATAGCTTTCCCATAGCTTTCAGATAATTTTATCTATTTATTTGGGTAATACTGAAATAGGGTAAAGCAGGGACTCAAAGCAATGATATCTAATTAGAATTATGAAGTATATAACTTGTATCCAAGGATTGACAGTTATTTGTGGAGTTCTTTGTATCATTTCATTTCAGTTGAGGTTGGGCATACAGCCATAATCCTAGAATCCAAATTAGGGTGCAATAAAAAATTGTAACTAATTCTCCTCAAGCATACACAATTGAAGCTGCAATGTAATTTTTGGCTTTTATTTTAATTGACGTGAATGGAAAAGTAAGAAAATGGGAGCACAATGAATCAGAGTCAGGTCTAAACCTAACCATTAGAAATGGTGAAGACAAAGAAAGTCACAGATAAAGATCTGGCCCACATCACTATGATCTCTATCTTCATAATTTGAGTCCAGAGTGACATCTACTCTTTAGAATGGGAAAATAGAAAGAGAGCAGATCTATGCTTATTGACTCCAGTCACGCATACACCCTCCACTTTCTTTCTTGCCCAGATTGACGCTGATAAAACTTGCTACATTTTAACATAAATGTATTTATTTATGCCTAGTAATGAGCGAAATAATCATAAATGTCTTTACTTCAAAAATATTACTAACTCTATGATATAGTACTTTTATAATAAAGTCTCTTTTTAAAAAGAATCTTTAAAAAACAGAATTTTTATAGATACAATTCTCACCTCATAAAAAATGAACATGAGGTGTTCAAAAACACTTACCATAAAAGGTAATACCAATAGGACAATTACATTTGTTGCATAATCATGTGTCTCAAACTAAATATGATACAGGAATATTTTACATTCCTGATGTATAACCTTAACTTCACAAGGCAGGTTTTAAAAAAAAATTCCAGGAAATAATTAAGAATGAGAGTCAGTGAACTACAAGCCCACAATGAAATATCAACTGATTTCAGCTGCACTATTTGATTTCCAAGAGCTTCTTCAGAGGCTAGGGCTCCTCTGGAGTGTAAAACTGAAAATATAAGACTGATTGCTGAAGAAGTCAGGTTTAAGGTCTTTTAAAATGCAATCATTGCAGCCACAAAATTTAAAGAAATCATACTTAAGTGTTTAGTAAAAATTAATATTGCAACACTCACTGCCACACTAAATCACAGGGTTAAAGGCAGAATATCAATACTGTCAGTTACTTCTCTACAATAATTAAACTTCATTCAATTATTTTTCAACAGAAATAGGAAGGGAGGTTCACAGACAAAGTACGCTCAAATGGATATGCTGAAAAAACAACTGGATTCCACTGTGAATTCAGAACACTTACAGGTAGATATAGGAAATTATGTAGGTCTAAAAATCATTGTAATGTTTGACTCAAGAGTTCCCAGTTCAATTGCAAACTGATAGAGATCTACATAGTTTCAATATTAAAATACAAATGGCAAGATTGTATTTTTTGAGGGGGCAAGGAGTTAAAATTAATAGATGCTTTAAATCTATTCCAAAGAGTGATTAATCATAGTACTTTCTGTATAAAACATGCTACATGAAAACAGCGTAATCAATCAGAACCAGCTTTACATCAGGGTGAGTGGCCTAGGCCTGGCCCTGGGTCTGCCATGCAAAGGACAATGGTACCTTGGACAACAGGACTGCTCAGTGTGTGAGCACAGGAGCCAGGCAGTAACTGTGGATGGAATAGAGAACTCTTAATGCCTTGGTGAGCTGGATTAGATAATCTCTAGTTTCTAAACTTATGATTCATGGTAAAGGAGAGAACATCACGGCCAAACTGATTCTGCAATACTCTATGTTGGCTCACGTACTAAGAATAGGACCTATATAATAAATAAGAGGTTCATATATTTATCTAGTTCAGATTAGAATCGGGACTTCCTGGCTGTGTTAAATATGCCTTACATTTATTAACATAATAATCACATGAAAGGAAATATGATCATGTGTCACATAAAGGTATTTTGGTCAAAGATGGACTGCATTCATGACAGTAGTCCCATAAGATTGTAAGGCTGTGTTTCTTTTGTACCTTTTCTACATTCAGGTACACAAATACTTACCATAGTGTTATAATTTCCTACACTACTCCGGACAATATGTATACATAGTATACCCCAGGTATCTGGTGACTATACCATCCAGGTTTGTATAGTAGGAGCAATTGGCTATATACCATCTAGCTAGGCGTGTAGTAGGTGATACCATCCAGGTTTGTATAAGCACACTGTATGATGTTCACACAATGACAAAATTGCCTAATGATACACTTCTCAGAATGTACCCCTGTCATTAAGTAATGTATAACTGTACCAAAATGTTTCCTGTGCCCACTGATGCAGGGACTTCTTAAATGGGAGATAAAACCTCTAACATTAAATATACCAGATTATTTGGACCATAAAGAATGTCCATACTTTTCTCCCTTCTTTTACTCTCCAAAGTGAATGCCAGCAATAAAAAAGATACCCCTCTCAGACTTACTGAGAACTAAATATACACAGTCATGACAAAAATTTTCATCATGCAAGGCGTATTGTTTATATTGTCATTCAGATTTTTAACTTCAGTTGCAAGGAAGTGTAATTCTTGTCATTAGAGATCATTGAGGAATAAAGTAAATGCTGCTACTACAGCTGAAATCATCAAGCTGAGCACCTGCTCTGAGCTCATGAGTGAGAGATACACTGTTGAGGTCTGATTGTTCTTCACCTTCAAGAATATATTGATTCCTCTTGAAAGACATATATTTTTTATTCTTTCAACTTTGAGAATCAATTGAAAGACAATTTTTAAGAAAAATTAAGGTAGAACTTAATCAGATGGCAACATATTTGACATAGATTATTGGAATGAAAATCAAAGATTCAAAGTAAGCTAAATTTCTTTATTATTATTATTATTGTTGTTGTTGTTGTTATTTTCTTCTGCCCCATAAAATCTGCAGGAAAGTAGTAAGGTAAATTTTTAACAAGATCCTTAGGAAAAACAATTTAGATCAAGAGAAGTCATTGTCTCTAAAATCATTTGTTATTAAATGTTCTATCTAAACTTCACAGCAATGCCTGGCACAGACCAGAAACTCTAAAATTTATTAAGGTATAAATTTAAGGGATGAATAAATGGGGAAAGATCTCACGTTAGCTGAAAAATTGGATACTATGGCCAGGAACAGTGGCTCATGCCTATAAGGCCAGCACTTTGGGAGGCCAAGTTGAGAGGATCACTTGAGCCCAGCAATTCAAGAACAGCCTGGGCAACATAGTGAGACCTTGTCTCTGCAAAATAATTAAAAAATTAGCCAGGAATGGTGGCAAATGTCTATAGTCCCAGCTACCTGGGAAGCTGATGGGAAGATCACTTGAGCCCCGGAGTTCATGATTGTACCACCGCACTCCAATCTGGATGACGGAGTGAGACCTTGTCTCAATAAAAGGAAAAGAAAAGTTGGATATGAATATGGTTTCTTCAGGGGTCACTGAAGATACCCCCACCCTGACTGTTACTTGAAATACTTATTTTCAAGTACTGCAAAATATTCCTGGATAAGAAAATGAAGCAAAATTCTGAGGCCTTGAAAATGTAAATGTGGACATAACAAACTGACAGTCTATGCAGATTCCTAAGTGTAAGACTGACACTTAGAAATGTACCTAATATTTCTACAATAGATGCAGAACCAACAGGTAAGATGCTTTTGAGAGGGAAGACTAGAAACACAAGGAAGTGTGGGATTGTACTTATAAGACCCTGAGCAATCTTATCTTTTACTTGACTCAAATGTGTCTACCGTGGGTAGGGTGAGAAGAAAGGTTAAGCAATACTAAAATAAGCCACTTACTGCTGTCCATGCATTTCTTTTGCACCGAGCACACAGCCATCCATCAGAGATCTCATGAGAAGGAATACCATAACAGCCTATAAAATAATAGTATGTAACCATGCATTAGGTCTTTTTCACCTTTAAAATATTGTAGATCTCAGTACTGAAATAAATAAAAATAGGACACTAGCCTACCACAGTGTCTTGATTCCTACTGCACAGAACAAAACATAAGCAAGGTGAATGTGAGTCTTATTGATAACTAATAACAACAGTTATAGAGAATACTTATGGAACATCTTCAATGGGTAATAAAATTTTAAACTGTCAAGTCTAGTAGTTTCTTCATGCACAGACATCTCAAAGTAAGTTGTAATCCATAGGACAAGGTTAAAAAATGTTAAAAATAATAAAATAAATACATTTTGACCTAATATTTTTAATTAATATAATTTTAAATTAATTCAAGAATTAAGTTTATCTACCTTTAACCTCAATGATAGGGCAAATGCTGCAAATTCAGAGTTCACAATGAAGGAGTATTTTCAATTCAATTTGTCTTTTCAGTTCATGCCTGACCCAAAGTAACTATCTAAGGGGATGGCTGATGGTGCAAATATACATAGCAATTATATGGCATCATAGAACACATGCCACTCTGACTTCTTGAGATAACAGAATTTTGAAATATTTAAATGAGTAATTTTTAATATCTCTGATATTAAAATTCCCTCCTTATAAGAGGGTTAAGATTTAATGAGTAATTTTTTTTAAATTTCTATAACATTTGAGATGGAAACAAAATAACAGAAATGTAATTTCCCGAGGAAAAAAACCTATCATAGATAACCATGCCCATAAAATACTGACTTAAAGTATATGTGTATAAAATAGTATGGCTACACTGTATAGCTGCTACATTCAGAAATCAGATTGTATCCCAATTATTTTGTGTCCTGGTACTTTACCTATTGTATACACATAATAATGTAAGGTGTGTGTGTGTGTATTACAAATTGCCTTTAATACAAAAAGATGGCTATTATTACATTTCAAGCAGATGGTGTTTGAATCCCTTGAGGAAGTAGATAGTATCTAATTAATAAATGATAGATGGAAACTGTTTCAACTCTAATATAAGGTGATTATTACTCCGAGGTAAATATAGAAGATAATATCTATATTATAAACCATGCAAACTACATTGATAGAGACAGGCCATACCTAAGTGTGTTACTAGAATATGTAATTTAGTAAGATCTAGAATACTAAAATGCCTTAAAATAGAGTTGCAGTATATGAGATCCCATTTATATATTTTATAGGATTTACATAGCAGACCAATAAATATTTACCACTTAGCCAATTGTTAAAAATAATAAAATGAAATAGGTAATGAGACTATCTCAGTCCAGGGGTAAAATAACTGTAATGACTATCTCCCCTGGAAGGCAACAGAGATTTTTACCCTTATGAAATACAAAAAATTTAACTTAGTACAATTCTCAGAATAACCGAAGGAACATTCATTTCTCTTTTAGAATTCACAAAGAAAAACAGTCATCAATCAATATCAGACTTTCAAATTAAGTTTTTATAAACTAGATCTTAAAGTAAGTAAAATTTAAGCATGTGAAAGGAAACCTCATGATGGAACTCTCATCTAGACCCCAAACAAACCAACCAACAAAAAAACCCCAGAACTGCTCTCCAATTATACTACATTAAAGAGGTGGAAAAAGAATGAATATACTAACTCATACTTTTACTAGAAGAAATGTGAAAAAGAATGATATAACCATTAAGAATGCCAATAGTCCATGCAACAGATTGACAGGTTCTAAAAAAGTGAGAAATAAAGATGATGTGAAATGCTGAAAAGCTAGTGATTGATGAATTATAGATCCATTTACTTGCATGAACCCGTACGCAGCACTTTGCACAGGAAATCAGAAGACTTGTTCCATCCTCTTCAAGAAAGGCATTGGGTGGAGAATATTCTATATTTTCTTCACTATAAATAAAACACATCTCTGGTATGAGGGGCTTAGTCTTTCCTTCAGACATAACGACTTCATCTAATTTTGTCTCCCATCTAGCATCATTTTCTTCATTGCTGCTATCTGGCTGAAAAACACAACATTTCCACATGAGTGAAAAACATGGAAAAGAGCTCATCATTCTGGTCACTCAAATCCACTAACTCCTGTTCCAGACGCTAACTTCTAACTTTTGTTCTTCCAGTTGTTCTTGACCAAACTACTCGTTTTTTATCAACGTTCCACCTCAGACTCCCACCCAAAAGCTAACCTCCAGGAACAAGACAATATTCTATATGTCTTGTTCATATAAGAAAGTGGCTAGCTATTAAAAATGTGTCTTTCCAAAATCAGTTCATGGAAAGCATCAATTCTTTTGCTTCTTCATATGCACTAGTGAACAGATCGGCTTTCACTTACTGAAGAATCATACCTTGCTACACTTGAAGGAATGTGCAAAGACCCGAGTTTTTATCTGTGCAGCAGTATTAAGAGAGGCTTTAAGGGGTTTTGCCTCATCACACTATTTGTAAGCAAGAGAGAGAGAGAACTGGCACATGTCACTAAATAAGAAAGGATAATGTATCAAACAAAATTATCAACTCATACCAAAAGATATAAAAAATATGTTTAGTATTTACTTGAAACTATAAGTAATGAATTACCTTACAGATTTTATATTACTAAATCTCCCCAAATCTTATGATTTTAGTTAGAATTTTTAATTATTGAGAAATATAGACAGATTATAATGTAGAAATAATAATCAATAAGTAGTTAAAACACAGAAATTCAATGACTAAAGGAAGAGAAAAATAATGTTTATCACTCACCAGTGCCACATTAAAAAACATAAAGGGAATAAATTATTTCCTCTGTTTACAAAGGTCTGAAAATATTAAGATATCACACATTTTCTTGCTTTGAAATGTCTGAACAGTTTATTTTTATAAGAAACTCTAAATCTTGAGTAAAGTATTTCTATTTCTATAAATAAAAATATAACCTAAAACACAATGTTCATGTCAATATATTTCACAATATATTATACCTTAAAATGAACTACACGGTGGAACCCTTACGAGACTCCTAAAGATCATTTCAACTCTTTGAGTGCTGAGGACCGTGACCTTTCATAAGCTGAGGTGCTATCGGTATAATATCTATGCAATAATGCTGAAAACAACATCAAGCACAGCTGGCTGGTGAGGCTGAACTGGAAAATTTAGTATATATGAGTCTTGGCTGTGTCTTTTGCATGTTCCACATTTCAGGAAGGTGAAAGAAACATTTAAAATTTGGGCCTAGGGCTGATGTTTCTATTATTTGAGAATGACATTTTTTTTTTTTTTTTTTTTTTTTTTGAGTCGGAGTTTCGCTTTTGTTACCCAGGCTGGAGTGCAATGGCGCGATCTCAGCTCACCGCAACCTCCGCCTCCTGGGTTCAGGCAATTCTCCTGCCTCAGCCTCCTGAGTAGCTGGGATTACAGGCACGCGCCGCCATGCCCAGCTAATTTTTTGTATGTTTAGTAGAGAAGGGGTTTCACCATGTTGACCAGGATGGTCTCGATCTCTTGACCTCGTGATCCACCCGCCTCGGCCACCCACAGTGCTGGGATTACAGGCTTGAGCCACCGCGCCCAGCCAAGAATGACATTTTCAAACAAAAAACAGAGATTAAGTCTAAACTCTCTCTCTTTGAAAGCGTCTACCATTGGTAAGCTTTAAGTTCTGTGTTTCTTGGTAAAAGACGTGGAAAAGTTGAAAGTACCCCTCCCATGGAATAAAATAAGATAAAAAAGATTTGAGACACCAAGGTGGGAGGATCGCCTGAGGCCAGGAGTTCAAGAGTAGTCTAGGCAACTCAGTGAGACCCAGTCTCTACAAAAAATAAAAAATAAATTTAAAAAGTTAGCCAGGCATGGTGGCTCACACCTATGGTCCTAGCTACTGTGGAAGCTGAGGCAGGAGGATCGCTTGAGCCAGAGTATGAGGCTGCAGGGAGTCATGACTGTGCCATTGCACTTCAGTGTGGGCAACAGAGCACAACCCTATCTCAAAACAAAAAGATAAAGTACTTTCAGAAAAGTGTCTCCCAAGGAGGACGTAGATCTGTTTGTGGTTCTGTGAAGGCCATCAGCTATCTAAGGATGACTGTCTTCCTTATGTGCAAAGGATGCCCACAGCAATTTACAGTGATCCTGTGGTTATGGTCACACAGAAAACACAGCAGTGAATGGAACTGTGACAGCATCTCCCCTTTACCTTGTGGTACGGCATGAGCAGAGTGCAGATGGCACAGTGTGGCTTCATCCTGGCCACTGTTGCATTATACTCTTGCTCCGCGGCGAAGTTAGGGGACTTCGTCTGCCAAAGGTGGATGAGAGGCTTCGCCCAAGACTCTGTTTCTTCCACTTCCTCCTCAATGGACAGAACCTCAGGCAATTCTTAAGGGAGAAGGCATGAAAATACCGTGAACATGGGAACCAGGGAAAACCATCACCCTGGATACAAAAGACGCAAACATTCAACAGAATCTGTGATATTAAGGCCAGAAACCAAATCTATTTTGTCTTTCAAATAAATCCTGAGAGAGGCAAAATAAGGGGAGTCGCTTTACAATCGTCCTCAGGCCTCAAACACTAGATCGGATCTCAAGGCCAGATAACCGCCCTCATTTTGTGACCCTCCCATCCCTGACAGTATAAATAACTACCCCATCCCCTCCTTCCCACATTACTCCTTCCGTGTCTCTCCTGCTACGGTAAAAGCTCCAGTACTAAAACAGGTTTATGTGTATGAGATTATCTTCCAGTTATCAGAGAACTTCACAACCCAGAAACTACCTTGCCAATATTTCTACTTTCTTCATCTAACATAGTACATGGCTCAATAAAAGTTTAATTGAACTTCATTGAATTAACTTCTGTGTTCAAGAATTTATGACAATTAACATTTACAGAGCAGCTATAAAGTACCAAGCAATATACTGGCATTACATGGATATAAAAGAAAATCCCTTGTCAGATCTTCTCATTTGTTCCATAAAATACCCCTAGAGGGTCAAGTCTTTAAAATGCATGTTTCTTTATTTTCCCCTTTTTGAGAGAGAATTTTGTTCTTGTCACCCAGACTGGAGTGCAATGGTGTGATCTCAGCTCACTGCAACCTCCGCCTCCCAAGTTCAAGTGATTCTCCTGCCTCAGCCTTCCAAGTAGCTGGGATTACAGGCATCCACCACCATGCCTGGCTAATTATTTTTGTATTTTTAGTAGAGATGGTGTTTCACTATGTTGGCCAGGCTTTCTCAAACTCCTGACCTCAGGTGATCCACCCAACTTGGCCTCCCAAAATGTTGGGCTTACAGGTATAAGTCACCTCACCCAGCCTAAAATGTATATTTATTTACTCCACAACAACAGCACTTCATAAAATGTTACAGAGCACTACAAAAATACAGAAAGACACAACATGTTAGAAAAAATTCTTCATCCCTATATCAGAGGACAGTACCTCAGAGCAAGTGGCCAGAATAAAAGCTGCACAGTCTAGGGCTGTGACACATTTTAAACATCCACATGAGTAGCTTTCATGGTCTGATAAATGAATATTGTAGAGCAATGTGCTTAACTACAATGCACTGGTGAGTGAGTGTGTTCCAGCCCTTGCCATGTTGACTTACCTGTTTTAGAAAATGTCAAATTAGATTTGCACTGATGGCAAAATGAGGAGGACTGAATGAGGCTGAAAATAACTCAAAATATATCAAATGCCAACTGAAGCATGAAGGGTGCCTTATAACATTATAATAATCATGTTATCATGGTTGTTGTTATTATTTTTACAATGGGAAATGTGTGGTACTTACCCATGGGTAGAGTATTTGAAAACAAAAGAACCTTTGCCTATATTTGCAATGAAGCAATCTGACTCTAAATGTAGACTGTTTCTCGCAGCACTTCACCTCACCATAACAGCAAGAGGAAATGTCTAAAAAATTATTATAGCACAGGATACATTACAGCTAATTTTATGGAGTTATGATTTAATACTGCACCTTTGTATTTGGTTACATCTGTGTTTGTGTGCATATGTTGTGACAAATTTTAACTTTTTATAATAAATTTATGTTTATGGTAGTAAATGATAAAACGGTGTTGTATTTGCATATATTTTATGCATTCGTGACATATCTTTTTCCTTTTTTTAATATTTCTAGGCTACATGATTCATTTGAGAGTTTTTTCAAATTATTCCAGGTTTGCAAAAAATGTTCTATGTATTTATTGAAAAAAAAAACTGCAATGTAAGTAGACCTAAACAACTCGAACCAATGATGTTCAAGGAGTCAACTGGAATTGAATGATAACTGCAGTTTTCAAAATATGATCTGTGAACTCCAGGGGATGCTCAATCCTGTTGCATGGCATCTGTAGAGTCAAAACTACTTTCATAATAACACATATGTTATCTACCTATATTACTCAGTTGAGATCTGGAACGGTGATATAAACCGGTAGACAGTAAAACTGTTGGTGCCTCAGCATGAATCAAGGTAGTGGCACCAAAGCAATCATTATATTGACTACCTTATAATAACAGAGGGAACAAAAAGGCAGTTTCTCTTAATAATGCCTTGATGGGGGGGGGGGGAAGCATAGATTTTATTAAATCTGTGAAAAAAAGGAATGTATGCATACAATATTTCTGTATATACTGAAGTTCAACAGTGATCTTTTAAAAAGCACTTGTGTAATTAATTGAATTGCAGGTTGAATTACCTGCCATTTTCATGGAACACCATTTTTCCATGAAAAAAATTATTAGCAAACTACAATCATTCAGACTTGGGTGGTTGGCAGGAAATTTCTTGAAAATAAACCCAAAAAAAGTGTCATTTTAAAAAAAAACAACTAGGGTATTTGTCAACAATGATAAAAATCAAACTTAGGAGTCACAATTAAAATTTCTAGAAAATCTGTATCCATTATTGTAAGTTCAATAGCTTCCAAATGCTTAAAACTGTCTCTGGTGAAAGTGATAATAAAATGATTGTAATTTTTTATACCAGATAAAGAGATGTGTCAACACCTAAAAGATCTGGATAACTCAGATCTTTGTTTACTAATGCACAGTATTAAATATCATGCATGGATGAAAAAGCCATTAAAAATGCAAGACATACCAATGAATTTTCAGCTTAATAGAGTTCAAAAAGTTCACTGATACGATTTTAAATTCCACACTGAAACCAAATTACTATTTGTCAGCTTTTGATAAAAAGTCAAAGAAGAATGTCCATAACTATCTAGAAAGGCTATTAAAATACTGTTTGCTCCCTTTCCAACCACATTGTCTATGGGAAGCTGAAATTCTCATGATAAGAGATTGAATGCAGAAGCAAATAAAGTAATCTAGTTGTCTTTTATTAAAACCAATACTAAAGACATTTGCAAAAAAATATAACTAACATCTCCCCAATCTGCAGGCCTGGTAACTACCACCCTAATCTCTGCTTCTACAAGTTTGACTTTTTTAGATTCCACATATAAGTGAGCCGATGTGGTATCTGTCTTTCTGTTCCTGGTTTAATTCACTTATCATAATGTTCACCAGGTTCATCTATGGAGCAGCAAATGTCAGGATTTCCTTCTTTTATAAGTATTCAACTGTATATACATACCACATTTTCCTTATCCATTCTTTGACTGACAGACACTTGAGATTGATTTCATATTGTAGCTATTGTGAATAATGCTGAATGAATGTATCAGTGCAGATATCTCTTTGACATATTGATTTCATTTCCCTTATAATCTTTGGACATACACCCAGATGGGAATTTCTGGATAAAATGGTAGATCTATTTTTAATTTTTTCCAGCAATCTCCATACTGTTATCCATAATGGCTGTACTAATTTACATTCCTACCAACAGTGTACAAAGGTTCCCATTTCTCTATATCCTAACCAACGCTTATTGTCTTTTTGATAATAGCCATTCTAATAAGAATAAGAAGTGAGGCTTTCATTTGTACTTTCCTAATGAGCTGTGACATGGAGTGTTTTTTCATATAACTGTTGGCCATCTTTAAGTCTTCTGAGAAACATCTATTTGGGTCCTTTTCCAGATTTTAATCCTTATGATTCTCTTGCTACTTAGTTGTTTAATTTCCTTATATATTTGGAATATTAACAACTGATCAGAGATATGGTTTGTAAGTATTTTCCCATACTTTCTGTAGGTTGCCTCTTTACTCTGTTCATTTCTTCCTTTCCTGTGCAGAAGTATGTTTGATAAAATCCCATATATATAAATTTTCTTTTGTTGCCTGCGCTTTTGGAGTGCAATCGCAACAAAAGCAAAAATTGACAAATGGGATCTAATTAAACTAAAAAGCGTCTGCACAGCAAAGGAAACTATATCAACAGGGTGAACAGACAAACTACAGAATGGGAGAAAATTATTCCAAACTATGCATTGGACAAAGGTCTAATATTCAGCATATATAAGGAACTGAATCAAATTTACAAGAAAAAAAAAAACCCATCAAAAACTAGGCAGAGGACATGAACAGACGCTTTCCAAAAGACAGCCTAGGTCTATTGAGTCATGCCAGGATCTTGAGTTACTGTGGGCCAGCTTGGCATTAAAGATCCAGTGGATCCCTATCAACTAGAAACGCAGAGATGGTCCCGGATCCTTGTTCTGTGGGAGTTGGCCCAATGCCAGCATCTTCTGTGGTAGACCTGTACCCTGGGTTCACTGGGGCAGGCATGGAACTCAGGTCCATAATGGCTGGTCTAGATCCTAGACCAGGGGACCAGCTTGGAGCTTGGGTCTGTGAGGGCTATCTTGGCTCTGGAGTGGGTATGGAGTCCGGGACTACAAATGCTGGCTACTGTTGAGGCAGGCTTAGAGGCTAGCTCTGTGGGTGCTGGTCTGGAGTCTAAGGATGTGGGTACTGGCCTGGCACTTAAGCTAGTCTTGAGGATGAGAGATGGCCTGACACTGGGGCAATCCTGGAAGGACAGTCTGCAAGTACCAGCCAGTAATCTAGGGCTGTGGGACTGTGGGGTGCTGGGTTTCACTGCAACAGACCTTAGATTGGGATCTGAGGGAAAATCTGATTCTTATGTCACTCTCCTTTCCAAAGGTATCCCTATCCCTCTCCTCACTGTACTGCCTGAGGTTAGGGGATGATAATACAGGTAATGTAAAATTGTCCTTCCTATCTCTTCAATGCATCTTTTCCCATTTCTGTGCTACACCCACATGCCATCATCTCTCATCTGGTTCTCTTAGCTCTTTTGAAGGCATTTTTCAGGATTGACAGTTGTTAAATTGATGCTTCTGCCAGGGCAAGAGTGCTGTGAAGTCATATTGCACTGACTTGCTGATGTTTCTAATTATTTTTTATGGTTTGGGAAAAATCATTTTTTAATG